TAAGCAGGAGGGCGAGTTGTAGTGCAGCAGCCCAGACCTGAGCAGTGTGAATCACACTGAGCTGCAAGTATCCTCATGCTGAAAGTATTTTAGGAACGCCCTCTTGCTCGGCTTTGTTAATGGGACACTGTGGTAGGAGCCCGTAGGGGATGCACCTGGTGTTCCTAGCAGTGCGTGGATAACCATCGCGGTGTGTTTGTGGCATGGAGCAAAGGCTGGGAAAGCCTCTGTTGTGTGTGGCTCCTTGTTTTCATTCACCGTTTGCGGCTCTCAGAGAGAACATTGGATCACCTCCATGAGGACATTTGGTTTCCATGCAGTGGGACCAATTTGGGATGCAGGGTGGGCAGAGCTGGTGCTGCGTGCAGCCCATGGGATTCTGTTGGTCACAGCTTGGAAACCGCGCTGGGTGGATGAGCGCTCGATGGGACGTATCCCTGCCCGTGGGGGAGCTGGGGCTGCTGGAAGTGGGATTCCCAAGGAACAAAAGCAAGCAGGAGTTGGTTCTGCTGGCACCCACATGGTGTGATGTGTGCTGTCCCCATCCCCACCCATGGCCACCCCTGCCCAGCCCCGTGCAGCTTGCCAGCCTGGCTGCTCACAGCCCTGGGCCGCCCCATCTCTCAGGCTGCAAATGATCAACGCTGTGATATTGAACATAATTAAGGAATCCTCGCCTGCAGGACGTGGAGGCACTGCTGCACCAAGCAGAGGACTTCCTTAAATCTAAAGGGCCCTCCCAGTTTGGAGAGCTGCGATGGTTCGATTGCCATCAGCACAGAGGGGAAGGAATGCATGAACAGTTTGGTTATTTGCTTTGGTGTTACGCAGTAACCCAAGCTTTGGTCATTGCAGCCCTTTAGAACTTTCTCTTGCTTTTTGCAGCCCGTCTTGACGTGCTGCCTTCCAGCAGGTTCTGCACAGAAGCACTGAGCTTTGCAGGGCTGGATGAAAGCAACCTGCTCACCTTCCGTGGGCAGAGAGCAAGCAGGGACCCCTGGGCTGCAGGGGAGGGCTGGGGGTGCTGGGATGGCAGTGACCCCAGGGCTCTGCTGGTGTTGGGAAACTGATTGTAAAGGCGGTGGGGCTGCACTGGGATGAGCTGGGAGATGGAAATTTGGGAGGGGGGGTTGCAAAGCACTGAAGAGGTGGGATGGCAGAGGTGGTTGGGAGCAGTGGCTGGGGGTGCTGGGATGGCTGTGCTGCTGTTAAAGCTGGAGAACCTGATGCCACGAGCAATGAGGGGACTGAGGGCAGTGAGCTTTGCTGAGCTGTGCCAAGGAGAGGAGCCCAGCTGTGCAGCCACTGGCATGGCATGGTGCTGCTGAGCCCCATGCTGGTCCCTAAGCTGCAGCAGGTGGGATGGAGGGGCTGCTGTGCTGTCCTCTGTGCCTGCATTGGGCTCCCCATGTCATCCTGGGGTACACTGGGACCCCACAGCTGCTGTGTGCTGTGCTGCTGTGTGCTGTGCTGCTGTGTGCTGTGCTGCTGTACCACAGCACAGCTCCCTCCTGATTCAGGTGCCCCTCCTTGCAGAGGCACCCAAGGGTGTAGCTGAGTGTATCAAAGATCAAACGATCTAATCGTGCCTTTTGTTGGCATCTTATCTGGGCTGCTTTCTTCCTTTGTGCCGTGTGCAATCTGTCAAAGGGTAAATATTTGATTGCTTCAGGAGCTCCGTGGCAGAGGACTGGGGTGTCTGCACTGCTGTGTGTGAGCACAGAGCTCAGCTTTGCTGCTCTGCCATTGTGCTGCGCAGGCAGTGGTGCTGCTGAGGGGATGGTGATGGAAGGCAGCAGTGAGAAAGAATGAATATTTCAGTAGTGCTGAGTCAGATGTCCATCCAGTTCCAACCCCCTGCTATGTGCAGGTCACCAATCAGCAGCCCAGGCTGCCCAGAGCCACATCCAGCCTGGCCTTGAATGCCTGCAGGGATGGGGCATCCACAGCCTCCTTGGGCAACCTGTTCCAGTGCCTCACCACCCTCTGGCTCAAAAACTTCCTCCTCATATCCAACCTCAACCTCCCCTGTCTCCCTTTAAAGCCATTCCTCCCATCCCAGCTCGCTGCTTTGCTGACATCTCGGAAGCTGAACCCTTGTGGTGTGGGAAGCAGCGCAGGCAGGAAGGCCGTGTGGAGCCCTTGTTTGTATTAACACAAATATGTAAACAGTTCCTCTTTTTTCCCCAAATATCACACACTTTCTTTTTGGCTGCCGTTTTGGTGTTGACGGAAGCAGGCTGTATAAATCACAGCTGTTCTAATCGAGTTCCATCAACTCCCATCCCCACAGCTGCCCTCATTGACGGCACCTCCTGCCCCACTGCCCCCAGTGGGGTGTCCTGGGAGGGATGGGGGGCTGTTGGTGGGACTGCTCCTCTTGGGCCTGGAATGAGGAACGTTGCTTCTTAAAGCACCTGTTGATGTGGGACATCCATCAGCATGGGGCTGAGTGCCTGCTGGGCTTCTGGGGGGGTGGAGGGGGCTGCATCCCAGGGGGCTGCTGGGCAGCTCCAGGGGGGAAGGGTAACGGTGGGGCTGATAGCAGGGAGATAAGGAAGGATGAGGTGACAAGAGGAGGATGAGTCAGTGGGGGCCGTGGCAGTTCGGGGGAGGGTCTGTCCTGGCGTGGATGCTGGGATGAGGGTCTGTGTGTGGCTGCAGGAACCATCGCAGCCCAAGTGATGGAGTTCTGGAGTTGCAGAGGTTGGAAGGGACCTCAGATCATCGAGTTCAGCCCCACTGCTAAAGCAGGTCCTACAACAGGACCCGGTCCAAATGGGTCTGGAGTTTCTTTAGAAGGGATGGCTGTGTGTCTGCAGTGCCCCGGGGGGTGACCACCTATGGGATGTGAGGGCTGTTCCCATCCCGCTGTGATATGCACAGGCTGTTTGAAATGCAGTCTTGCTTAATCTCCCATTAATCTTAGGCAGGGCTGCTCACCCAGCCTTTGTTCTTTGTTGGGGGATGGCAGTGCCTGGGGTGGCCCCTGGAGTCCCTTCTTTATCAGATTCCCTTATCAGCAGGAGCTGCATTGCTCCTTCCAGCCTTCCACTCACACTTCTTTCTTCATACCCAGGCTGCAATTAATTAGCAGCACCCAGGCCACAATCATTGAGCAGCACCCAGTGTTGGGCAGCATCAGGGCAGAGCACACAGAGCATGAGGAGTGCAGGCACACAAAGTTATGGGAGGAGAACAGGCACAGCATCTCGTGGTGCCCCACATCCAGCTCTTCCTTGGTTGGCTCTAATGAATTGTTAGGAATATCTGGGAATGAGCACTTCTGGCTGAACCTGCGCTCATTTAGGAACCCTGGTATGGATTTATGGTAGCTGCAGGTGTTTGGTTTGGTCCTGTGCTCCATGTGAGCACGTGAAGCTCTGGCAGTGGCAAAATGATGTCTTGGTTGCTGTGCTCCTGTTTGCTGCATCACTGAGTGGCCAGGGCTCCCCTTCCCACAGAACCATAGAATGGCTTGGGTTGAAAGGATCACGAAGCTCCAACCCCCACCAATGCAGGGCCACCAACCTCCACATTTCACACCAGCCCAGGCTGCCCAGGGCCCCATCCAACCTGGCCTTCAACACCTCCAGGGATGGACGGGGCATCCACAGCCTCTCTGGGCAGCTGTTCCAGCACCTCACCACTCTCACAGCAAACAATTTCCCCCTGACATCCAACCTCAATCTTTCCTCCTTCAACTTCAAACCATTTCCCCTTGTCCTGCTGTCATCTCCCCTTCCCAAGAGCTGACTCCCCTCCTGTTTGTAGGCTCCCTTTAGGTCCTGAAGGCTGCAATGATTCACCCCACAGCTTCTCTTCTCCATGCTGAACAAGCCCAGCTCCCTCAGCCTGTCTTTGTAGTGGAGGTGCTGCAGCCCCCTGATCATTTTTGTGGCTCCTCTGGACCCTCTCCAACAGCTCCCTGTCCTTCTTGTCCTGGGGGCTCCAGCCCTGGACACAGTGCTGCAGATGGGGCCTCACAAGAGCAGAGCAGGGGGGGACAATCACCTCCCTGCCCCTGCTGGCCACCCCTCTTCCCCTTCTGGGGCCTCTGTGTGGGGCACTGGCGTTGGTATCAGTGCTGCTATCAGTGTTGGTGCTGGTCTCAGTGCTGGTATTGGTGCTGGTATCGGTGCCAGTGCCTCACATGTTGCAGCAGGCAGCTGGGGAGATGCAGGCAGCATCCCTGGGCACAATCAGTGCTGCTCTGCTCACTGCACGTGCAGAGCATGCGGCAGCAAACCCTGCACTTCCCTTCAGTCACCTCTCCTTCCATCGCTGGGCTGGGATGAGGTTTGGGCCCCGAAGTCGTGGGAGTTTTCCTGCCTCATTTCCTTGGATTTCAGTCTGAACCTCACGGCTCCTGATAGGAGCAGGGCTGGTGGCTCTTAGGCTCATTTCCCATTGATCTCAAACAGTCTTTGCTTGGAAACTCTTATTCTGTGTGTGCTTACAGTGAGTCCATTGGGCAGGGGCTCACTGCTGAGCTCACAGGACCACCATGTCTTGAATGGGGTGCCTGGGCTGGGGGCTTGGGGGTGTGGGGTCTCAGCGTGGATGGGGTGGGATGGAGATTGGTGTGAGGTGGGATGGGATGGGATGGAATGGAATGGGATAGGTGGTGCTGGTGGGGACTCAGGTGTGCAGCAGGGTCTACAGTGTTATCCTTGAACCAGAGAAAGCTGTGCGACAGCAAGCCAGAAAAATGCATTTCCTGCTCAGGAAGAAGGGTGCCTTCTCTTAGTTGGTGTGCTGCAGGAGCACCCTGCTCTTGGGCACTGTGCTGGGGGGAAAGGTTGGCTTCGGCAGCAGTGATGTTTTGTGTGTGGCTGATGGGCTGTGCCATGGGTTGTGCCATGGGTTGTGCCAGAGGTTGTGTTGGGGTTGTGCCATGGGTTGTGCCATGGGTTGTGTTGGGGCTATGCCATGGGCTGTATTAGGGCTGTGCCATAGGCTGTGTCCTGGTCTGCCTCACCGTGGTGTTTCCCCCCCAGCAGAGTTCTGCCGCATCGACAAGCCGCTGTGCCACGATGAGGATGAGCAGCTCAGCTTTGAGGCCGTCCGCAACATCCACAAGCAGATGGACGACGACGCCAACGGCAACGTGGACGTGGAGGAAAGCGATGAGGTTGGTGCTCCGTGTCTCCCTGCCCTTCTCTCCAGCCCTGCAGGGCTGCCCGCGTCCCAGCGTGCCGTTCTGGGGCTGTGGGCTGCACTTTGCCCACCTGCTAAGGAGACGCCATCCCATCAGTCCGAGCTCCGATCCCAGCTGTGTCTCTGAGCTCTGCAGTCCCTGCAGCGTGTGGCTTTTCTGCTGTTCTGGGGGCTCCTGTGCTTCATCTTTGGTTACATACGGGCAGTTACCAGTGCATCCCAAGGCTGGGAGACAAGTGGGTCTGCTCACGTGCCCACGGTTTTGGTTCATTGCTTCTTTTGTAACTTTGGAGCAGGGAAGGCCACCTGCTCTGCTCAAAGCTCCCTTTGCCATCTCTTGGAGCAAACACTGCTGTCCCTTCCCACTCATCCCCCAGCACACCTGGAACAGTTAGCACAGCTTTGTGCCCACTGCGGGAAAAGAAAACTCATTTCTGTTGTCTTGGCCCTTGAAATCTGAGCTGATGGCTTTATGAAAGAGAAAGGAAATGATTGCTTTCCTACATGAGCACCAAAAGAAGCAATGACTGCTGGAGCAGGGAAAGCTTTTTGTTGTTTATAACAGCTTCTCCATTGCAGTGGGTGCACAGGGTGAGGGATGCTCTCCTCTAAGCCAACAGATGGAAGTAACACAGTTGAAGTATTAGAAAAGGCAGACCGAGGGGCTCTGCTATGGGCCATGGGATCCCCATTCCTCAGTCTGTAGAGGGCTGGGGGCTCAGTGTGGGCTGGGAGCACAGGATGGAGGGATGCAGGGCTGAGCAGAGCTGCTGTGCTCTGAGGGCTCAGTGAGGCTGTGGCTGATAGGGGAACCCTGTGGAATGGCTGCGTTTTGTTGTGAGCTCACTGAAGTGCAGCCTGCTGCTTCTGCACCCACAGCTCTGTCCTGTATTTGCTCATCCCGACGTGCTTGGCAAAGCAGAGGCTCTGAGAGCCCCTCAGTAGTGCAGTTCAGTGAGCAGCCCTGCAGAGCCCTGCTCTGGGATGCATCGGACAGAAATAGCCATCCAGAGGGTTGAACCCCATACCCAAAGGTTGAGCTGTGGGGCAGTGCTGCTGCTCCTGCAGGTCCGTGTCCCCAGGTTGGGCGCAGCAGCCCGGAGCGGTGCTTATGGGACACATTCAGCCCGGTGCTCCCATCCAGCAGTGCCATTTCCTCAGCCTAAATTCCACTGGGTGGAGTAATTAAAGCAAATGAAAAGCTTTCCCAGTCAAAGAAATGAAAAGCTTTCAGCTGTGTTGCTTGCAGCGTTTCCCTGCGGCGGCTGCAGCTCTGCCTCCATTCCTGGAGCTGTGCTGGGTTGTGCTGGGGCTGAGAAGCAGCAGCACTGCCTGCAAACCCTGCCCTGCCCTGGGATTCCTGCTGGGTCCGTCCTGCCTGCTCGCTCTGCAGTGTAGCAGTGCCATATGAGCAGTAACATTCATGGCTCTGAAAGGCTGCAGGACCCGTGGCTCAGCCTGGGCTGCTGCTGTCCTGTGAGCACAGCCTGCATGGCCCCTCATCTTCTGCCCCTCCTGTTGTGCCTAACTTTGAGATTTCATCTCTCTTGTATTTAAAGCACTGATTTTCTTGTGCAGAGTCACCGTGGATGGGCACCTGGGTGCAGTGCTGGGCAGCACTCATGGGCCAGCACCCTCCATCCTGTCACTGCCACCAGGTTTTGCTTTGCTTTCCCTTTGGGTGGGTGAGCACACGAGGCTCTGCTGGCCATATAGCAAAGCCATGTGGGTTGCACACTGCTGCATCACTCTGGGAAAGCTCTGGGAAGCACAGAGGCTGTGCCCTGGGACAGCCACGCTCAGGTGTGCTTCACACTGGGATGTGCACAGATCCTGCCCTGCTCTGTGCTGCCCTTCAGTCCTCACTGCTTTATTCCTTCCTTCCTGGGAGCCAATTTCCAGTGAAGCAGGAGATGACATCCCTGACCTCAATTAAAGCCAAAGAGCCGTCCCTCGTGGGAGAGCTTCTAATTAGCAATCTATTTCTGCTCCCTTTGCTCACCCAGAAGGCAGCTGTGGTGGTGCAGTGCTCGGATGGGGCTGCTGGGCACAGCAGGTGCTGTCAGCCCATATTCCCAAGGAAACCAGGGGTGTCCCACCACCCTGCCCATCCTTCCTCGTTCTGATCCTATGGCCCTCAGCCACCTCCAGGCATGGGCACACAGCTCGGGCAGTGCTGGGGAAGGATTCCCCCCACACTGGACCTCGTGCAGTGGGCAGAGCTGCAGCCTGACTGCCCCAAGGCCAGCAGTGCTGTGGGATGCTGTGCTCAGCGCAGAGCTGCTGGGAGCGATGCACAGCGTGGGGCTGTGCTGTGCGTGTCAGTGTGCACCTCACTGAGTCCTTAAGGCTGGAGAAGCCCTCCAAGATCCCCCAGCTCCCCCCGCCGTGCCCACACTGCTGCTCACACAGCCAGGATGCTGTGTGACACAACCTAAACCTCCTGCTCACACAGCCAGGATGCTTTTGGTCACACTGCTGGCTCGTGCTCTGCCCCGGATCCTTTGCAGTCACTCTGCCCCAAGCCTTTAACACTGCATAGTGTTGCTATGGCCAAAGTGCAGGACCCAGCACTGCTCTTGTTGGCCCCCCCCGCTGCCCCCAGCCCAGCACTGTGGCCGTGATCCCAGTCCCCACTTCCCCCCCAGCCCTCCCCCGGTGGCAGTGCTGCAGGGAGCACTGAGCGATCGCTTTCCCTCTGTGCTCCCTGAGCTAAATATACCGGGCAGCAGCTGGCCATGCTGTGACATTGCCACATCCCATAGGTCAGGGCTGTGGGACACAGAGTTTCTGCAGGACCCGCTGCTCAGTGTGTGCTGGGAGCAGCCCGGGCTGCTGCTGAATGCACCCTGAGAGCTCAGAGGGTGAACGCTGCGCAGCTGTACTGCTCTGTCTTCCATTGAAGCACCATCTCCTTCTGCATGGGCAGCTTTAAAGAACTGTTATGTTCTTCTTGCTCTTGGAGCGGGTCCAGAGGAGGGCACTGAGATGAGCAGAGGGCTGGAGCAGCTCTCCTATGAGGAAAGGTTGAGGGAACTGGGATTGTTTAGCCAGGAGAAGAGAAGGCTGCAGGGAGACCTCATTGTGGCCTTCAGTGCTTAAGGGAGCAGATAAACAGGAGGGGGAACGGCTGTTTGTGAGGGTGGATGGTGATGGGACAAGGGGAAATGGTTTGAAACTGAGACAGAGGAGGTTTAGGTTGGATATGAGGAGGAAGTTTTTGAGCCAGAGGGTGGTGAGGCACTGGAACAGGTTGCCCAAGGAGGCTGTGGATGCCCCATCCCTGCAGGCATTCAAGGCCAGGCTGGATGTGGCTCTGGGCAGCCTGGTCTGCTGGTTGGTGACCTGCACATAGCAGGGGGTTGGGACTGGGTGAGCATTGTGCTCCTTTGCAACCCAGGCCGTTCTATCATACTATGATTCTTCACCTTAAAATCCCTTTAGCAAAGAAGACTGCTTGTGAGTCATAGAATCAGCAAGGTTGGTGAAGAGCTCTGAGGTCAAATCCAACCCAGCACGCTCACTGATGGCACCAAGAAGGCTGGAAGAGCCCTCCAAGACCCCCAGCCCACCCCACTGTGCCCACATCCCGCAGCGTCACATCCCCATGGCTCTGGGACACCCCAGGGATGGTGACCCCCCCAGGCAGCCTGTGCTGGTGCTGCTCTTTGGGGGAGGAATTCCCCTGGTAGCCAACCTGGCCGTCCCCCAGCATGACTTGACTCTCACACCACATTGTGCTGGAGGGGATTTCAGCCAGGAATTATCTTTGAATGATGCTGGATGTCCCAGGAATGGGAATCTGAGCTGCAGTGCTTCCTGTGACATCCATTGGCTGTGGGGGATTGCAGGGAGGGCAGCGGATGGGATGCTGTGCAGTGCCTGTGCTGCTGGAAGGGTTAATGGAGTGCTGCTGCTGTTTCTTCTCCTAGTTCTTGAGGGAGGACCTGAACTACCACGACCCCACCGTCAAGCACAGCACCTTCCATGGTGAAGACAAACTCATCAGCGTGGAGGATCTTTGGAAGGCCTGGAAGACCTCTGAAGGTAAAAAACCCACAAAACCAACCAAGCAACCCAACCCAAACGCAAACAACACGAGCAGCCATGTGGAATGGTGCTGCACATGGGGCTCCACATGGCAGCATGTCTGTGCGTCCAGAAGGGCACTGATCTCTGCTTTGCTGCCCTTTGTGTGTCACTGTTCCAGCTTCCTTTTTTGGGCGCTTCTGGATTTTGTGGCTCTCAGTGCGTTTTTCAGCTCTTAGTGCAACCTGAGGATAGCAGGGGAAGTACCAGCAGCACAGGGGTGGCAGCAGGGACAGGGAGGTGATTG